TCTGGACTTGACATCCGTACAGAGCTAATGAACTCAAACATTTTCAATGGCCAGGCAGGTAACCCCTCATGAGTGAGGCAGCCAGGATAAGTATGATCTAATAGCATAATGGGTAACCAGTTGGGCTGCTAACCACAAAGTCAGCAGTTCAAAACCGCCAGCTGCTCCCTGAGAGCAAGATAAGGTTTTCTGATCCCATGAAGAGCTATAGTCTTGTATACCCACAAGGACAGTTCTACTCTGTCCTACAGGGTCTCTGTGAGTCAGAATCAACTCAGTGGCAATGAGTGGGTAGGAAACCCAAGAGCACACTGGTCCAGGCCACGGCTTCCCTAGAGAGAACTGGGTGGTATGTCCCTGAAAGTGTGGGGCTGTCTATGAATCTCCGTGCCTGTGAGAGCTGACAACTTGAGCCACCAGCAACAAGCAAAGGAAAGCAAAAAGCAAAGGATCTAGCTCAAGCTAGATCCCAGCCATCTTGCCTTTGGCTCCAGAGAGTTTACCTCAGAAATAACCCAAAGAGGAAACAACAACATCAACCCTCCAGCAGACAAATAATGATAATGCCACACTGCAGAATCCATGCGGTGGCACTGGATTCTGGGTTTGGATTTTGTGTGGGAACCTTAGTTCTCTGGGTCCAAATGCTGGAAAGACCTAGAGCCGCTTCTGCAACATCAAGTGAATACCCGAGTCTATTTCGATTCCTGGGGACTGAAACTGTGCTCCGTGGGCTTGTCACAGCTGTGGGCTTTCGGAAGCAGATCAGCAGGCTATATTAAGACGTCTCTGGGTAAGTTTGGACCACCCACCTTTTGGCTAGTTGTTAGTTGAGTTCTTAACTGTGTGCACCATGCCTGGCTCCCAAACACTCATTTCATGCAGTGAAAATACCACTGTGCCTACCAGGAACGAGGGAATGCAGAATGGCATTTATGTAGCAAAATGGATCAGTCGTTAATCATTTTATAAATCAGGTTCGTCTGTAAGTTAAAAGATGTCTCACAGGATCTAAGCTTGGCCAAAGAGAAGTCTATATGTCTAACTGTGTTGGGTCTAGATAGGGAGTTGTCATTTAAATAAGATCAAGAAGAATAAATGAAGGAGCTGAATATAGGATATAACATCTGTGATGAGGGAGGGCCTCGGAGGCACCAGTACTAGTCGTTGAGTTGGTCCAACTTATGGGGACCTCAGAGTACAAATGTGCCCCACCAGGGTCTCAATGGCTGATTTGGGGAAGTAGATTGCCAAGCCTTTCTTGAAAGGCCCTCTGGGTAGCCTAGCAGCAGAGCATCAGAACAGTTTGTACCACCCAGGGATGCCAGCATTCTGTGGTGCATGTGGCCAACATCCCCACCTCTCCCACCTCCGTTGTCAGTGATGACATGCCGCAGAGGAAGCTGTGTCAAGGGAAAAGTAAGAAGCTGCTACTGAAATTGTGCCATCATATTAGAACATCCTTTATTGTGACCTAGCCTGACCCCTTTTGTACACTCCTGAGAAAATGCAGGATCCTTAGGGACTTTTATTCTCAGAGGCCACCTGAGGCCACTCTGAGAGGTTTCCTGGTAACCACATTGCTCCTGGATAGCGAGGGCAGGGCTGAGAGTACGGTTCATGGATTGTGGGCACTAGAATCCCATGAATATGCCCGTGGTGACAGACTCCATATGTGTGGGGATGGCTAGACTTCCTTCAGGGCTAGGATTTTTAAAAACTGTCAAAACTGAGCTATCTGTATCTAAAAATCTCATCAAGATTTAAAATCAATCATTTCCTCTGTTTAGATAATTCACTGTGACCACTGTATCAGTTTTGAGTCAGATGATATGCATTCATTTACACTCAAAGCAGTAACAACCAAAAGAGACTGAAGCAAGGGCAAGAGTGCTGCTACTGGGAGAATATGCAACTGACTGTCCTAGAACCATGGGATGTCTTAGGAGAGAGGAAACTCAGAGACTCAGAAACTCTTCAGAATTCTCCGGTATAAACAGAGCTCGGCGTAAACAATGTGGAAGATGGAGATGGTGGTGGGGAAAAGTTTACTTAAAGTGATGATATTCACTTTACCTTCCATTTTAGGCAGCTTATTACTTATTTCATCCTGCTACGAAGTCATTATTATAAACATCATTATTATTAATGTGTTTGCCAGAGAGCATTCTGTGCTTGCATCTATAACATGATTATTAAGGTGGCAAATAGGTTTTGTCTCATGTAACACCTTCAATCAATTGACAGTAGCGGGCTATAGAAAAGAGGGAAAAAAAACTAAATGAGAGACTACTTTATCCAAAACGCCTCCTACTTTAAAAAATTCTATTTACATTATTAAAACCTTGCAAAGATTTCATGTAGTTGCAGAGTTCCGCTACAAAACCTGAACTTTTGAATGTACTGGTTCAAGGGAAGAATAAAGATTGCAGTTTTATTTTCAAGTTCCTTACTGAGGTGGTGAATGAGTTTGAATCAAATATTTTATCTTAACACACAGGAACATTGTCAGCAGCTATTGCATGGGAACTGTAAGAAATCCCACAAGGTATCAGGAAACTGCTTGTACTGAGGAGACTACCTTAGTAGACTATCCTTGGCTGTGGCTCCTTGGAATGTTTTTGGTGGCAGTATTTATTTTCTTCAGGCTATCCATTTCTAAAGTCAAGAGACACACTTCTAAAATGCTCTGCTTTTATAGAAAAAAACAACAATGCATTTCTAAATCAAGGATGCCAAATAAGCTCATTAGTGGCTTCACTGATGATTTGAGAGCCTATCTATACTCAATGCAATTGATGAATAATGTCTGCTTTGGGAGCAGGGTGGGGAATAGCAGACCCGCCTTATTGTGTATTTACACCTTGAAAGTCGATGTCTGTTTTTCATCCCCATGGTTGGTTTGGTGGCATAATTCCATTTGCTTTCTACGACAGGCATTCCTTGAATCTCTTTCCGGCTCTCCAAGGAGGAGCTGTGCATTTAGTTAGAGAACGCACTTCACTCCCATCTCAATGACATATCTCCAGTTTCCATCTTCCGAGACCTTTTCCACTTATCAGCATCACGGAGCCTTTTATAAATCAGCTGGAAACTATGGGCATTGCTATTTATGACTCCCACATCTGGCATTCTGAACCCTGGCTCTAGACTGAAGAGGCTTCGTTATTTTTAGCCTTCTTTCATCTTGTTTCTGGGGGAAAGTCAGGGCCTTCTACTCTTGTAGAAGGTTACAATCTGGGAAACTCACTGGGGAGGCTTGACCCTTTCTTACAGTGTTGGTAGAAGTTGGCATCGACTTGATGGCCGTGGTTTGGGGTTTTCATTTTACTTCAGTCATTTCCAGCTTGTTCTATTTTTCCCCTCAATCTATATTAACTTTCTTATGCTTCAAATTTTCACATTCTGTGGGGGGCACACTTCCTAGGTGGATAGCAGTCACCCATTTGCACCTAGGTCAACCACAAATGTGAGGAAGGGAGGAGACTGATGAAACTTCGGAGAAACTTGCCCACATTCTGAAATTTTCCCTCTGCTGGTGTGTGCTGCGAGAGTAGTATGTCATCACATGGACTCTGAATCTGCTACTGCTTTGAAAGGGTCACTCGGGCATCCCCTGGTTATCTCCTCTAATCCACTCTTCAGGACGCTGGTGGTACAGAGATGAAGCACTCAGCTGATAACCAAGAGGGTGGCCGTTTGAACTCACCACTGCTCCATGGAAGAATGATGGACTATTCTGCTCCCATAAAGATTATACTTGGAAACCCCCGTTGGGACAGCTCTCTTCTGTCTTGTAGGATCATTCAGAGTGCAATAGACTCATTGGCCATGGTGGAATCTGTCATTGGCACCACTTGAAGTCAAATGAATCTTCAATATTCCCTTTATTGCATTGACTTGTTTGATTAAAAGCCTTTTATATATAGTTTTCCAATTTATATATATACACATGGAACGTGTCTTTCTGGCTTTTGAACAAAGTATTCAATGGAGTGTGAGATAGAAACAACAACAAAATAAGGTGTGGCACCCTACAGGTCTTGGGGAATTTATTGAATCTCTGTGAGCCCCAGTTTTATCCCTACTGAATGGAGATTAATAATAGCTACTTAAGACTTTGTTTTTTAAATAGATCTATTGACATAGAAATCACATGTCATACAATTTAATCATTCAGTCATATTAAGAAGAGTCATACAATCAATATCACAATCCATTTAAGAATACTTTCTTCTTGTATTCATTGTTGATAGATCCTCATTGCCCCCAACACCCGCTGCCCTTAGGTTACTGGTCCCCTGGGGCATGGGAGAGAGGGTTGAATGAAAATGGGGATGTTAATGATGAGGACAAGAATGAAGGAACTGTTCTAAAACTGATTGTGGAGAGGACTGTACACTCTTCTTGATGTGATTAAACTATTGCATTGTATGTTATGTGAGTCATGCCAATAAAACTATTAAAAATTTTAAGGTTATTATATGCTATGAGTGAATGAAAGATTCTCAGTAATAATGGAGCTTTTGTGTATTGTTTATGCTTCTTGCCCTCTGTGTGCCCAGCTTTATGTACCATGAGAAGACATCCCCAACAGTCCTAAAACATCATCATAGCAGACCTATTATTACGCTTTGCCCTTGCTATAAGCACCTTACTTCTCTTCTTTCATATTAATACATCTTTTCCATCCATCAAGCTCTACCCACTCTTAAAGCTCCGAGACAAGGTCCACTTCCTCAATGCAATCTTTCCTGATTACTTCATTAGTCACCGACTTCCTTCTTCACTGAACAAGGCCCACATTTCATCAAGGGCTTGTCACACAATTCAGCCATTAATTATATTTTGTCTTGTTCACTGCAAAAGACATGCCATGTATCTCATGCCTATATGCCCTTGGACATGGAAATCAACTCCATGCTGGTTCATTGGGAGATGAGAAAATCTTCCACAAGACAAGAAAGATGAACTCTCCCTTCCTCCTTTTGTTGTTTCAGGTGTTTTGCATGAACAAGGAATACTTCAGATGACTGTGAAAGACTACATGAGGTATGTGACAGAATCCATGCTGTTTCAAACTAGCTTTCACAGCCACATTTTTGATAAAGGAAATATCAATAGAGAAATTTTCTGATAACACCAGGGATCTTGGGATCTTATAAAAGGTCACTCATTTAACCACCACTCCTAAGAATGTTCCTATGAGCCTTCAGAGAAGGAGAGGTTCTTTAAATGTTATTTTAAAAAACTGATCAAATTCATTCAACAAGTACTGATTTAGAGGTGAATGTATTTAGAACATATGAGAAGGTACCCTCCCCCAAATTTTTTTTAAAAAAACATTAAAAAGCTCTACTGGGCTGACCTTCAGTATTATGCATTTTTCCTTTTAGGCAGGCATCCAGAAACTCATTCTGAGTTAGTGCACCCAGTGCTGTCACCTGGAAAGATTCTCTCTGGTCATAGTGAATTTTTTCATAAAACCAGTTTGGCTCAAACCTCGTTTTTTGTTTTTTGGTTGTTTTTTTTTTTTTGTAATAGCTGATTTAAGAGAGCAGCATGCAGCTGTGAAATTTTGTTTCCTGCTCAGGAAAAATGCTGCAGAAACTGTTGTGGTGTTGAACACAGCTTACAAGGACAGCGCTATGGGGAAAACTTGAGTGTACAAGTGGTTTTCTCATTTCAAAAAAGGTGAAGTGTTGATTGATGACAAACTGCATTCCGGATGTCCACCAACCTCCCGAATGGATGAACATGTTGACGCATAAAGAATTTGGTCAGATTGTAATCAAGCTTTCTATTTAGAGGTTCTGAAAAGATTATATAACAGTGTATGACAAAAAAGGTCTGATTTGTGGCAGACAGGGGTCTGGTTTTGTCACCATAACAATGCACCTGCTCATGCAGCCATCTCAGTGCACCAGTTTTTGGCAAAAAACAGCATGCTTCTGTTGGCCCACACACCTGACTCAACTGACCTCATTCCTTATGACTTAGTTTTGTTTCCCTGAAAGCAGGGGAACATGAAAGGACAGTGATTTGATGACTTTTCCAAGAGGTAAGGAAAAAATGAGTGAGGTACTGTCAGCCAACCAAAGATGAATTTGAAAACTGTTTCCAAGAATAGAATTACAGATTTGACAAATGTATTAAGTGTAATGGACAGTATTTTGAAGGTAATAAGTTGTTTTGCAAAAATAAATTAAATACATAGCTTTGGGGCAAAAATCATTTTTGGGGGATACCCCATATACATAAATGGCATTCACTCTAATTCAACTCTTCTTCAGGACCTGTTCATAGAAAATTGGCATTCATCAATTCATATTGCCCATGCTATCAAGAAATTTGATAGGCAATGATACATATTGCAATGCTAGAAAGTAGTGAATATCTTTATAGACTAGGACTCAGTGTAGTCCCCAGAACAGTATCAACAGCATCACCTGGAATTGCAGTAGAAGTGCAAATTACCTGCTCTGCCCTATACACCCTGAATCACAAAATCTGGAGATGGAATTGAGGAATCTGGACATTTGCAAAGGTTTTGGATGATTCTGATGCACATGCTATTTTAATAACCACTGGAATGGATAATAAGATCTTTGGGGTGGGGACTGTACTTCCTGTGCATCAGTCACCCTTGAATTTTCAGTACCCACATCTGCTGGTGAAAGTCAATTCGAACTCATAACAACCCTACAATAATAGTTATGAAAGCAGGCTGCCGTTTCTTTCTCCTATGGAGAGGTTAGTGGTTCAAACTGCTGACCTTCTGGTTAGCAGTTGAATGTTCTAACCACTGTTAGACCCAGGACAGTTCCCAGCAAAATATGAGTATGAAAATTTTTCAGGTGAATTAGACTTCCTAATTCCCATAAGCAGATAAGACAAAACACAAGGAATAAACAGAATAGTCCTTAGATCATATCAACAAAACAAAGACTGTGGATTTGGTTAATCTGTGGGATACCATCAATAAATTTGCGTAACTCAGGAATGAGAGGAAGTGAGAAGACTGGTGAATCTCTGGCCCTATTCAGGTGCTCAATGCAATAGTATGCCATGACACAGGGTCTGAATGCTGCCACTGCTTTGAGCGGGTAACTCTGACATCCCCTATTTATCTCCTTTATTCTGTTCTTAAGCACTTAGCTGCTAACTAAGAGGTTGGCAGTTTGGACCCCCTGGCTGTTCCATGGAAGAATAATGGGATATTCTTCATCCTCTGCACCACATATAGTTTGCATTGAGAGGGAAGAGAGTGCATTAAACGATGAAATCAGAGTTCTTTGTTAACATTGTCAGAAATGACAAGTGGTTCCTGACCAGTCTGGGAGCCCGCGGTGGCATAGTAGGTTACAAGATGGGCTGTTTACGGAAAGGTCAGCAGTTTGAAACCACCAGCTGCTCCATGGGAGAAGCTGAGAATTCTATGCCAGTCAAGAGTAGCAGTCTCAGAAACCCACAGTGACAGCTATACTCTGTCCTGTAGGGTTGCTATGAGTTGGAACCCACCTAGTGGCAGTGAGAGTTTTCTTGACAAGTCTGAATGTAATTAAAGAGTGATCTGTTGAATGCAACTAGGAAGCAGATGGCCTTTGGGCCTTTACTTAAATCTCACCTCAGTTCAAGAATGGTTTGTTCTAATAATGCGGCATCATATGATATTCACCTTTGCTGAAAATAAAATGGGTGCATAAGCAAATGTGAAGAAAGCTGATGGTGCCAAGCTATTAAAAGATATAGCGTCTGGGGTCCTAAAGGATTGGAGTTAAACAAGTGGCCACCTAGCAGGGAAGCAACAAAGCCCACGTGGAAGAAGCACAGCAGCCTGTGTGACCATGAGGTATCAATGGGAAGAGGTATCAGAAGTGCAAAAAACAAGCAACCAAATTGATGTGAAGGAACATGGACAAAGTGGAGACCCAAAATCTACCTATAAGATAATTGGACAGTCCCCCTGAGAAGGGTCACACAGAAGACAATGAAAAATCCAGGGTATGGTATAGCACTGATGAACCACATAACTATCCTCTAGTTCTTGAATATTTCCTCCCCTTACTATTATTGGGTCTTTTTGTTTTAACCTCATCAATCATGTTAGATTTGTGTATGTTCATTTGCATATTCAAGATCATTTGTTACAGGAAAGCCAAGATAGAAAACCCTTCAGAAACAGTAACAGGAGCAATGGTTCCCTGAAATATGGGGAAAGAGGGTGGGGAAGGGAGTAGGGAACTGATAGCATTGATGACTGTATAACCCTCATTAAAACAACAGAATTGTATGAAGGGGTACCCCCTCAAGAAAAAAAC